AAAAAAGAGAAAAGAAAAACAAAGAAAACATCACGTCAGGTATCCGTATGGTTTAATAAAAGTGTAATATGGGTATACGAGGAAAGATTACGCGTTTCGTGCGAATTTATGGAGAAAACAATCAGCTTGTTGTATCGAGTATAGTTGTACGGGCACTTGTTGGCAAAACGAGCCGAGGGGGAACGGAAAGTTTTGATTAGCGTTATACATGTACAGAGAGGCATCACGTATAGATAAACACCAGCCGACGATTACGACAGCGATACAAATGTTTTTTTTTTAATCGCCAGAGATAACACGGTAATGCGTAATGATACAGGCTGATTATACGTGTACAAGATGATCTGTGAATATTTTTTGTTCATAAGTAACAAAAACACCATTTACAAATATTTTCATATAAGTATATGCATATACAAGAGCGCGGAACCATCGGGGGGGTATACTACAGTTGTACGGATCGAAGGAATTTCGGTGTATATTTTGATTCGCCAACACATTTGTTCCTCGAATAGCTTGCGATTAAATTCCACGCGTGCGAGATTAAAGCTTGATTTGCGCACGCTCTGGAAAAAAAAAAAAAAAAAAAANTGTACCGGCAAGTTCCACGTCCTCCAAAAGGTGTCGATGTTGTTGGCGTTCCACCAGTCGCAGTAGAACTTTCTGTCCGCGAAATGCAGCAGTTCGCCCATTAAATTGAAAAACGAGTGAAATATGAGGTAGAAGAAGCACAGCCACATTAGGTGATTCGGTATCTGCAGGACACGAGGGACTTTTTTGTTTCATCACATATTGGCAATGTATAATATGTATACATAAATATATAGAGTCCTCATGCGTGTAATGTACGTATAATCTTCCGGATGGACGAGAAGCTTTCCAGTCACGTAGCATCTTTTACGTGCTTGGGGTGGCTGTTTTTTTTTGTTCCCCCATACCCATCGGCCGATCGCTGCGTTATTAAGAATAATTGAGCTTCCTCCTCCCGGCCGACGTTTTTGGCGCAGCAGCGCGGGTCGTTATGGAAGCAGAGTCGAACGACGTGTTTTTCCGAAGCGATAACAGTATAGTTATCGATCATCCCGTGCTCGTTAATCGAATGCAAATTTTCCGCCGCGTAGGTACATCCGTCGCACGCGTGATTTGGCGCTTTTTTCGTTTGCTGGGGGAGGGGGAGGGGGTGATTAAACTCGACGCTAATGAAAATTTCACCCACGCCATGGTGCATCGCGCCGTAAGTTCAACCGGACACTCAACGAAACTACGCGCTTGCCACCCTATGATTGTTATTGAAAATAAGTGATTTTCAACCGTCTAAGTTGATGCATCCTTTCTTAAGTGCTTGCTGACTCATGGAATCAAATAAAAACTGACTCTCAACAGTTTTAAATGAATCGTGAGATAAAATAATATCCGTAACCACCCATGTATTAATGTCGGAAATAAAAAAAATGTTTTTTTAATGGCCTCGACGATATAGAGGAAAATTTGTTGGTCCTATACTAATGTACTTTATGAGCGTTTGTATTGTCCTCTCTAGACTCGAAAAACCAAAAAACCTTGACGATGAACGCATAAAAATCACTACATTGATCTTTCAGTCACTAATACAGGAGGTGACTTGCAACTCGTGCCTTCATCTTACCACTGAAATTTACATGAGACAAAAAACGGAGGGAAAAAAACACTGTACAGTTGGCAGACCTTTGATGAAGCCCATACCATCGGAACGCGATCAAGCATCGGCGCAGAGTGTACGGCAGAGGGTGCGAAAGCCGCCGACCCTCAACGAGCACTCGCAAGTTGTTATTTTGTTCCGATCGGTGGCGGCGTCCCCCTCCCGTCAAAGGTTTCATAAAGTTACCAGGACACCGAGCACAAAGACGCGGTCAAGTCCTCCTTCGCCGCAGGGCATCGCCGCATAAGCGTAGCTGCAACCGTGGAAGAAAATAAAAAAAAAAAAAAAAAAAAAAAAAAGATAAATGAAAGTGCAGCGGGAGCGCTTACTATTACACGTGCGAGCATAGTGCACAAAGTGCTGCAATATTGAAAATTCAAGTTTTACCGGCTGAGAGCTGAAGGGATACGCCTGTACCACGTGCACAGAGCAGCAATGTGTTTCGTCATGCGTATAAGCTCCTACTTTTAGTAGCTTCACATAGTATAGGCTCTGCTGTAAAATGTATAAATATATGTATNAAATTTTAAATAATTAACATTCGGAAATTGGGTGATTTGAAGCTTTTCTGCAGGAAAGAGCCATACTTTTGCTTCACGTTATGGTGTCAAACTATATTTATAGAGAAAAGACAAAAAAAGTAATTAGAATTATAACACAGAACGGATATATAGTTATTTTACAGCTGAAAAGCTTTTTAGGACCCAATTTATCGTCGATTACTTATAATAATTAATTGTTTATAGCTATTTTAGCGTAACGGTTGGTAAGAAAGTACATTATAATCTGTAAGACCGTATCGGTATAGCGCGTGAGCTTACCGCTCGTGACATTCGCAAGGGTCTTTGGCCAGAAAAAAAAAGATTAGGTATACACATATAATATATACGATGTATGGAACATGTATATATAACGAAATAAATAAATCACATCGATTTGCATTTAATTGCACGAGCGCAAGCGTATCGATCTTTCGGGGTGAAAATAACCAGCAGCCGATTGCAACCAGGTAAGTAAGTCTGTACAGTCGAGCTACGTTGATTCGTAGAAATGCCCGATACGATGCAGAGAGCAACGCGTCGTTGGGCGCGCGATAAGAAAATTAATCGGGCGCCTTTTATTTTATTTTTTTTTTTACTCTTTTTTTTCTCTCTCGGTGAGTTGGTATGCGTAGATTGTAAATCCGGTGTGCGCCGTATAAACAATATATACATATATTTGTACAGTACATCCAAAACGAAAGCAAAAATATGCGTGCGGCGTTTATCGGAGCCAAGATACAGGGTGTTTTTGCGCAAAGTGCACGAGCAGCGGTTAATCCACGCGGTTGAAAGATACCTCCCCTTCCCCCCTGTATTGTCTTGGCCGATTGAGACAGCGGAGGCCTCCTCGGCGCTATTGTGAGTGAAGCTCCTTTACTTTGCTATCGTGCCATATCCGGAAAATTCATTGTAAAAGCTCCTACGAGTGCGATGCGAAGAATGAATTAAAAAAAAAAAAAAAAAAACACTTTGATTCTTCTTTCTTCCTTGACAAAGAGCCATACGCGAGCTATCTAATCGAGCGGCTTCGGCGCGAGTGGGGGATACAGATTCGACGTTGTTATCCTCGTCTCAAAAATTTTCCAATGATACAGAAGAGGCGCGGGTATCGCGCGGACGTATTGACGAAACGCGCTCTCCGGCTCGCGGGTATTGTTTTTTTTTTCCCTCTCTTCGTGCGTGCACTCATCATGAATGAGGAGAGTCGTCGAACGGACTCGAGAAAGATGAAGTAAAAAAGATACCGAGGGCACGTAAAGTTCGCAGAGAGCGGGTGGAGGGAAAAATTCAAGGCAAAAGGGGAGGTTTAAGAGATGCGCGGAGCACTCGATCGAGTATAATTAGGGGCACAAGTGCAGCCGAGGTTTTTCGTTTATCCGCTCGATCCACCGTATATGCGTGAAGAGGATACAAGTGTACCACGGGGTGGGGGGTTGTTGCCTAGCGTGTATGAAAGGGTGCATTATGGGGAAACGAGCTTGCGACGAGGGTCCCTTTGAGCGAACATCGTACTGTGAGAGATGACACTCGAGAGTATATATACACGCAAACTTGGACGAGTGGGGTGGTATACGATGTAACCAAGTTGTATACTCTCACTGACAAAGTTTCATCGATTGCTCACGTATGCGGAGCTTTTGAGGAATTAATGTGAAATTTATGTAGTGGATGTACAGACTTTGCGTTGGTTTATATACCCACAGCGTTACGGGGCAAACTATACATCCTACATCCTACCTGCAAACAGTACGATCTTAGGCCACTTTTACGGTCGGAGCTCAACGTATAACTTTGAAGTTTATGGGACCCTGCGAAGCGGTAACTTTGAATCGTCCCTCGGACCATTTAAGGAAGTTTCAACGTTTCGATCGACAAATTTTATTGAAAACGACAAAACGCCAAAGAAAAAGCTTTTTGCAAACTTGATCAACTTGTTTCAATAAAAAAAAAAAAAAATCGTTTATCCTTTAAATAAAAAACGTAAATTGGAAAGAAGATCAAGTATCAACGGAGGATGAAAGCGTAGGGGTTGTTGCACGAATCGAAGCATCGACCGGCATGACACCTACAGACCGAGTGTATAGCATCGCAATCAGGGCGCGCTTTGGCTCTCAAAAGAGGGTGTAAAACATCAAGACGAGTTTCGTCCATCGATCGACGGAATCAAATGCAAAAGTGCAAACGAGAGAGAGATGGAGAAATGGAACTCGTATGTAAAAATACACACGAGTACATAAATACATAGTTACACGAGATGTAAATGAAAGTACGTAAGCATCTCGACTATTATCTATCATGACAATGTGTGACGTAGGTCAACGAGCGAGCTAAGCTCCTCACCCCCCCCTCTCTTGAACCCCGCTTATGCATAAAGGCATTATTATTTTTTATGCATGTACTCAAAGTGCCAAGAGAACGGCCCCAACCGGAGTCACGTAAGCATATCGGCTGTGTGGGTGAGAAAATAATACACCTATGCTGTATATGAAACTACGTACTAGAGTATATATGTATATATTGTACACACAGCGTTTAACTCCTACTCCTCTGGCTATAGTTCCGTGCTGTTGTACGCCGACGCCGATCACGTACATATACACACCGCGAGCACTGGGTAACTCTGTGTACATGTATACCCACATATAGGAGCTGCACGACGAGCGAAAGGGAGTCAAAGCTAAGAGAGAGAGAGAGAGAGCCACCGGGTCGGGAGTGAGGAGAGGCCAGGTCTCGGTGCTCCCAAGCCGCTCGCCGACTGTCAGTGGGTGCGAGTCTGCGAGTCCAGCGAGTTAAGCTTCGCCGCCGCGGCCTCTCTACGTTGTTGTTCATATTCTACACAACCCAACCGTGTAATAATAAAAAAAATTAATAAATAAATAATCATAAAAACAAAAAACAGGAAAGGAAAAGAAAAACCCACAGAGTGGGTTATAAGTTTTTCGGCACAGTCCCGACATTGTATACACTCGTCCTCTGTGTAATCTCCTCCTGCAGCCGCGCGCACACCCGCATACAGATAAAGAGTAGTTGTTTTTTTTTTTTTATTATTATTTTTTTTTTTTTTTCATTTCCCGGCTTCGCTTTCATTTGTCTACCGACACGCAGCGGACCAACCTTGGAGGAAGCACAGCCGCACGAAGAGAAAAAATCAACGGTCGCAGACGCGACGATCGATGCTGGGAGAGTAGTCCCGAGGTACAGTTGTCGCCGTCGCTGCTCCTCGTAAATTCCCCTGCATCAAGCGATTTTCACCACACCGAGACACGTGTGCAGCAAACTCGGTGGTGTCGTAATCGAGAGGGGGAAAAAGGAGAAGAAGAAGCAGCTCTCCCCAGCCTCTCGCGCCGGATCCTCACCCTCCGTCGCATGTGCGCGCGTGTGGGACGGTGTGCGCGCGTGGTAGTGCGCGGAACGGTATAGAGAGGGTGCAGGGAGCCAGTTGAACTCTGACACCACCCCTGCAGCCGTGCGCCCTCCTCTCATCTCGATTTTGGGTGCGTATTGTATACTCAAATAAACCCAAGGAATACCAAAGAGGGAGATTCTCTTCGACTGTGCACACCACTAAGTAGTCGTGCATCACTGGCATCGGGAACGGAAGAAGAGCCACACGTATATACATACAACGACCGTCCTACTTTCGCGGAGAGAAAGATACGTCTTACGTGGTTCGCCCGCAGCAGTGGGGCGCGCGGCCGCCATCATTACGAAGAAAAAGCCTCGACTGCGGGACCCCAGCAGCGAAACGTGAGTACTTTTCGTTGCCATAAGTATTACTTGACACCCATCGTCACTCTGTTTCGTTCGGATTTTTCTCGGCTTATATTTATACACCGGTATATATTTATACGCGCGTTGCACTATCATACATACCAAAAGCGTTCGTATATAGCGCGCCCCTTCGTTTGTCTCTGTTTTTCCTTCGGAGCCGGTATACGCGTGACGAGCGAGTTCACGGCGTTTCTGGAAAGTTCGCTGGCCGCGATTTTCCGTCGCGCGTCTACACCTTATAAAGGGACCACCGGCCAAAGTTTGTGTGTACGAATGATGTATACCCATGAATCCTCGCCAGGAAAAACGGCGATTCTTTCCCGAGTTCGATTTTTCGGAGCAAACCGATACGCGATGAGGCGAAACAGCGCGTCGTTGTCGGACGAGAGTGGAAATTTTGCCGGCACTTCAATGTGTATATATCTTTTATTGATACCGCGCAAACAGCTCGTAATCAATTACTTCCTGTGCCTTTGTGTGTACGCGCGCACTGGTTTCATTAACACTTAGTGTGGCCACCGCGATTTCTCAGTAGTTTTCACTATAGAGTGATGTTCTTCTCTCTTTTATCCGCTTTGGAATAATGGAAAGAGAAACAGAAAAAACGAGCAAGCCGGTAGCAGAAGCCGGAGAGGAAAAAAAAAAAAAAAAAAAAAAAAAAAAAAAAAAAAGAAAAACGGGGGCAAAAAACGGGGGAAAGAAAAAAAAAAAAAAAAAAAAAAAAAAAAAAAAAAAAAGTCGAGCTCGCATGATGCGCGCAATTCACAGTCGCGTCCATCCGCGTGTGTGTATACATCTGTGACGTAAGATGGTTCTAAGCGAGTATGGCAGACGTCCGGTGATTTTTTTACTCCGTGCTTATCTCTTGTTTTTCTCTCTTCCACATTTTTTCTTTCTCCCTTTTCCTGTTTCACGACCAGAACTTTTTGGAGCTTTACGTAGGTGGCCAGAGTAATGGCAATTGGGTTGTTATTCCCCTATAGTCCCGTGCCTCCCCTGCTCTATTTTTGTATTGTGTAATTGCCATAGAGTGGGGGATTTGAAAAAAAAAAAAAAACATTTTTTTTTCACGCTTGGAAATACTGGAAAGAAAAAACCTATTATTAAACGCAATCAAATACACTTCCTGCGCACCTTCGATGCTTTTCGCCTTACGTAAGCGCAAAGCTTCCTTTGCTCGTTGTACGTGTGGATACAACAACGGTGAGTTTGACCGTTGCAACGGGAGGCCCTCGTTTTTTTCCGCACATTTTGATCCTCCCGACACAACCCGCGGCAACTCGTTCTGTTTCAATACTGCACGATTCACTATTTTTTTTTTTTTTCACGCAATTATTTTCACATTTATACCCAATTACATTTTCCCGTATCGATCGCTGGTCATTTGTATGTACACTTACGAAATTAAAATTCTTTGAAGAATTATTGTTTTTTAACAGATTTTTATAATCCTAATCAAATTGTGCTTTTTAAATCGATACTCTATCAATCTCCATTAGCGCTGTCGAATGGCGGAACAACAATAACAACAGCTCGTCAAAACTTGTCAACTGAGCAATAAAAAACATTCCTCGCTCCGTCCGTCAGAGCCATTTAAACGTGCTAATGAAGATCGATGAAACATCGGATTTAAACGCACAAATCGAGTGGGATCGTCAAAAATACAAGTTGATTGATCCGTTGCTGAAATCCACGGATAAAAATACCATTTTGATAAACTATCGTTTACGGGCTCAAGTGCCAATCAGCCAAAGATGCATGAGTGAGAATGAGTGTAAGTATGCACTGGGTACCGACGACGGCCGTACATGGACGTTGGAACAAACGATGTATCGTATACAGTTACCGGTGTTAAATAATGTTTTCCGAAGACTTTGAAAACAGGGAAAAAAAAAGGAAGAATTCGTTGCTATCTCGAACAAACAGTGTCACTTGGACGCGTCGAAACAATGCGATGATTTAATTTAACGAGATGACGATGCAATACCTCGCAAATTTCTTTCCTGGGTCGATCACAGTCACACGAATTTCTACCTGCTTCCTTTAGCGATAACCACATGATTTCCCTCCAAGTTTTCAAAAATTCGATTGTCATCAGCAAATGGAGAAAAATAAGTCGTATCAGAGCCGCGTGGGTGCATCGTCATTGTATGACGAGTGCACGCGCAAAAGCTCGTCACGTGTACTTCACGACATAGTACATCAATGGATAAAAGACACTTTATTATAGCTTCGGGGGCGTCGCTTCTGGCATTTCATGTATTATGCTATAGAACTTGCGTGCAGGTGGTATTACCTTCTGGAGACGACACGGGACTTTGTATTATTTATTTATTAATTTTTTTTTTTTTTAAAAGCTCCGCAATTGTAATGATGATGAGTACATCGTATGATAAAATTAGATAAAAAAATATTACGTTCAGCGGGTAAAAAAGTTGCATTAGCGATTATCTGAATTTGAAATTTGTATGCATACGTATGGTTAAGAGAACCCATCATCTGACCGCTGCAGCAGAGTACAGAGTAAGGTGATGTACGGAAGTGCACACGACGCTGTGTGTATATGTATAACTGTTGAGCCGAGTTAATGAACTTTGGGTGCTCGCGTTACTCGACCATGTGCTCCGCATGCAAGAGAGGAAAGAACTAGTTCTGCAGGATGTGCCTCTTGTCGCTTTTGGTATTTTTTTTCTCTTTTTTTATCTTTTATTCAAAAGCTGCGCGAGTTCTGGTATTTACATGTTGTGCACACCAGCTCCACGGACGTATATCTTGGCCGAACAGTTGCTACTGCTTTTTCATTATTTTTATTTTTTAAATGTTTTTTTAATTTACTCAGATATGAAGTAATCGTTTATCCGAAGCACGCGTATCAGAGTAGATTTTTTTTTTTAATAACAATAATATGCAGTCACTGCCACTTATCGTTCGGTCACTTGAATTTACCTAATGGATCACGGCAAGATTATACATGTATAATCTTGCTTTAAAAGTTAAAAAATAAAATAAAAGTGTCCATTAGTCGATTTTAGTATTTTAGTAGTCCTCGCATAGCTATACTAAAATTTCCGAAAGATTAGTGGTACTGAGAATAAATCGTATTAAGTTAGCGTTGCTTCATTAACAAAATCAAATGTCATGTAAAAAATTGGAAGCAACGCTATCAGCATGTGATATGTCTATTTATAATTATGACGAAACGAAATACAAGTATACCCAACACTGATACATGTTAACTATTAACACGTGCTCACGAAGTTTACCACGCATACCGTATTTATAAACACGTGCTTAATCATTAGTAACGATACAAAAATGTAAAAGCTACCGAACAATGGTAATAATTACATACCACACGATTCGTGATAAGTTATCAGCTATATCACCGGTTACATATATGGAGTTTGAGAAGAACAATTAGTTTAAAAAGGGCTGCTAGACGATTTTTTTTTAATTCTCTTTCACGAAAAAGAGACGTTAAATCGATTAGTTCTCACGTTGATTTTCCCTCTGAGGTCAGCTTTCTCGGCTCTTCTGGTGAACACGTGCACACAACATACACGCGGGAGTGAGCCAAAACTTGTTTACCTTCCAAAACTAACGGCGACGAGACATTTTCAGATATATTCAAAGTCGACGCTCTCCTTTTCTCGATTGCAAGGCACGCAACACAATGCCAACACTTTTCAAATTTCATGAAGCGCAAAGTCCGTATCGCGCGCGAGATAATGTTACATTGTTGTTGTTGCTTTGTATCTGTATGTACAGTAGTACCACTGTTGTGCACAGTACAGCACATGGAAAGGCAGTTTTTTTATTTTTAGTTTCAAGTGCATTCGGAGCCGCGAATCTTCATTTGAATATGTGTTTCGAGATACATAATTAATGCGTTAACTTACTTTTTGTCGTTTTCGCGAGACGATGTCGTCACCTGTGTCGGCAGCTGTGCAACGAAATCCCCGGGAGAGAAAAGCGGTCAGCTCATGCAGGCTATCGATTCTGCAAAAACACAATCAAAAGATACACGTAAATAATATAACTTGGGAGCAGAAAAAAAAACAAGGTGGCAGACGAAAATAAAATTTTTACGTAAATATTGTTTTGCAAACATCGTTCGCGAGGAAAACAACTTTTTCTGGAGGTTACGCAAATATTTCGCGAAAACTCGGTAATCATCCTCACAGACAATGGCATTAAGTCATTCCTCGAATGTATGTATTCACTCTTCGTCGTCCCGTTTATTAGATTAAATTATTTAAATAAGCTCAACTTTTACATCGTACGAAGAATAAAAAATAAGCTTTAATTTATTTTACTTGATGACTGCTACGGTCCATGTGTGGGAGGACCTTATCAGTAATTTGGACGTCAGGTAGGTCCCAATCAAATTGTGCCCTTTTTACACATCTCATTGTACATTTTTTATACGGTAAATCGTGAAAACAATGGGTAAAAGTACACCCAAGTCTTCTGACCGGTATGACCGATACCTCGACTTCCTGGCCAGTGTTGTTTCAGACAGCATCGCATTAAACAACCACTGAGCCAACGATCTTTTTACGTCACTGGGAAAAAATGTCATCTCGAGTGCCTATACCCACTACAACAACTTGTATTATACCCGAGCATCAGCCAAAGAGATAAGCACACGCAACGCGACGAATTCGACCGTGTCTATATGTACCAGAGCTTAGAAACCAGTTGTTACCAGTGAATATACTTAAATAAGATCATCTCACGAAAACAGCAGCGTCACGGCCTTACCCCATCTTCCAGCCCATCAATTGTACACTCTGCTCGAGATATGGAGCCCCAACGTGCGTCACCTCATTGTTTCCAAATTACGTCGATCGGAGCTAGAGAAGAAGAAAAGAGACAATACATACGTCTGCGCTACTAGTTCTTCGGTGTCTCGATCAATTTCGTCCGAAGAAAAAGACCATTTGGCATATATTGACCAACGCGATTCGCTTTCG